GTCAGAGCACACACACATGCACTCACACACACTAGCACACACATAGTTGCTGCTTTGTCACAATCTGCATGATACTAAGCCTCTGCCAGCCGCAACTTTGTTTTCACCAACTGCCACGTCACCTGCAGTCAATGATATAGGTGCATACTTTTGTTTCCCTTTTTCACTCTCTATCTGTGTGTATCTCTCCCTCGATTTCAGTGAGTGCGTGTGTGTGTGCGTGATTGTTAGTGAGTGATTGAATGAGGCCTTTGTAGTGATTGGGTAGCGAGTCGGTGTTTTTTTTTTTTCTTTTCAGAGTTGAATTCAGCAGTAAGTGGAGAGAGCGGGGTTAGCTGGAGTGCAGGATCCCTGCTAAAAGACACTTGAGGAGGATATAGATACACACACAGAGTTACAACACATGCTTTATAGCTAGCAGTGTATGTTGATAGATATCACACAAGACATTCCTCTTGGTAATTCTTTTCGGTTATATAATATGCAGGCCACATGCAAAAGCGTGATTTGTAGCTGTGTCGCATATCCATAAAGCGGGATCGTGGGTCTATTAGAGCAGCAAGCAGTCCGGTTATTGCACTGCTCTTCTCATTAGCATGCCACATTATAAACACACGGCCGCACCATCACAATATGGGAAACGCAGAAAAGGGGAAGAGAGAGAAAGACAGATGTGAGTCAGAAACGAGCATGAGGTAAGATTTACTGTGTGGTGTCTAAACCCGGTAAGGCACTTTTGGGGGGGGGAAATAGGGCTTGCTGATTTATAAAGCAAGGTAATAACACTCTGCATAAAGATCTGCAATTTTCATCTATATATGCAGCAACATTCCCGTTAAAGCATTTTCATTTCAACTCCTAAATATATAGAAAATACATCTAAATGTCAAAGCTTTTCAGCAGCAGCACAGGGATGTTCGGAGCTGTGTGTTTTACTGTGAATAGCAGAATCTTCCGTGGCTGATCAGAAACAGCATCATCAAGAGAAAGCCCAAAAGTAAAGAATTTGAACTGTCGGCCACGCGGTTTAATTGCCAAGTGACCTCTGAGAAGTGCAAAAAATGCCACTGAATTAATGACTGCTTATTACTCAAGATGTCAAAAAAAAGAAAAAAAAAAGATTCCAAAAATGGGATTTTACAGCTTACACTTTAATCAAATCCTGAATCGCTATTTACTTTGGATAGAACCTGGCAGGTGTAGAAATGAGGTTTTATGACATAAGCAAATAAAATAAATACTGTTTTATACCATATCTGGGTTTTGAAACTCTTAGTTTCTCCTACTATTTCGACTGTTCGTTGCTCGGTCTCTGGCTTGCAGAATGACCTCCGTGGCTTTAATCCAGGCTGGCGGTCAATCCGTGTTGGGCTCAACTTTGCTTTGGCGAACAGGAGTTTACTTAAAGGATAGAAATTTAATTAAATGCTACATTACAACTCTTCACTTCCTGGCTCATCTTAAAAGAGAACTAAAAGAGATAGGAGGAGGGGGTGGGGAGGGAGTAAGAGAACGTAAGCATGTAAGGGGAAGTGAAACTGGGAGTTAACACGCAGTGTAATTCTGATGTTAGCCATTGAAGAGTGACGAGAACGTTGACATTCATTTTCACATGAATGGGATAAAGTGCAGGTCGAACGCGCGTTCACTTGACCTGCTTCAAATGCGCATCACTTATAAGAAAGAAGTGTAACCTTCCACTGCCTGCTCCTTCCTCTCTCTCTGTGCCGCCCTGCTCCTCTCCTGACTCTCCATCTCTGTCTTGTTTGTCTTGTTTGTTGCTGTGTGGCCTGCCTAACCTCTCTACTCTCCGGGGCATCAATGCTACATCTCTGTTGTCTGAGCTGTCAGCTCACATCGCCCCACACATCCTGCCAACACACACACAGATACACTTGGATTTACATTTGTGTGTGTGTGTGTTTGCTCCTGAGTCCTTCCAGACACAAACACAGCAGCACAAAGTATACGCCGGTTGTTGTTCCTGTGTGTTCCTGTGTGTCGCTTCGGCACTGAAGTTGTTTACAATAAATCAGGCTGGTAAGGGTGGCAGGTAGACATCTCTTAATTACTGTAATTTCCAGCTCTATGATCGCCTTTAAATCTCGGCGACTGCGCTCGGTTTCTTTAATTGAAGCAATCATCCATTGGCCACAGAGGGTGACGTGAACGGTGGCGTGAGCGAAGGTAGACATTTAATCTGGTCATTTGTAAAGGTGGCAGAAAGCGACTGTGCGGTGGCACGGTGGCTCCACATCAGGCACAAAATGGCCGTCCTCAGGTTGGCTCCTGCTGGGCTCGCTCTCACACATGCAAATGAGCCTGAGCCAATAATGAGATCTTTAGGAGCTCGATAATTAGATTTTTCCCTTCTCTCCGAGGGAGAACCGCAGAGGCAGACAGGGTGAGCGGGAAGACTTCCTTTCGTGTCTTGACTTCTCTGGAGAAGCCTCGGTCTGCGCTTGACAAGCCACCCACCCCCTCTCCCGTACCCACCCACCATATCCTATGCCCCCACGCCTTCCCCATCATATTTCTATTCTTTTCTTTATTTATAATAGAGGGGAGGATCTGAGCAGAGAGCAAAAGAAACTCTCAGATTGTATCTGCCTTTTGATTGGTTGCTCAGAGATGGTCTCTGTGTTTGGCTGGATGTGCGAGATGGTATCAGTGCACTTTGTGTGTGTGTGTGCGTCTGTGCGCTCACACGTGTGTGTGTCACTGTCATGTCACGTTCAGGAAAAACCCGACAATAGCTCGAGTCTCGAGACAAGCAATTGAAGGAGAAATCGATTGTGTGCGACACAATTGCAGCGGCAGTGACTAAAAAGAAGAAAATATTTTAACAATTGATTATTTATTAGATAGCAGTGTATTAACAACTGGTTCAAGAAATGAACACAAGTGATACTTAATAACGATGGCTGGGAATTGTCGCTCTTTAGATTACAGTCTGACAATTGGACAAATAGATTGGGGAAGTTGTGTTTATGATCTTGCCACAAAGACAGCTGGTTCATTTCACACTTTAAATGTGTGTTTGTCGATGGCGTTGGACATAATTGACCACAGTTACCTTAATTGGGAGCAGCAGAAGTGCTACTGAGAGAATTGGTGAGCAAAGTTGGCAGACGGTGTTGGAATTGGCGGATTACCCAGCATGATACGATGCGTCCGTGACCTGCCACACCTTCTCTACAATGGACTCACTTGGCAGACACTTACACTCCAGGGTGGGCACGGGCAGAAGCATATGCACCGTTTTGGCAGACACGCGCCTGGCACACTTAGCAAACTGGTACTTGGCATGCACACATACAGATTAACGCACGTGCTTGGCTGTGGCCCATACGTATGTAATTGAATAGCGCGGTGTCCCGTTTTCATGTATTATTGAGGAGCTCGTTTAATTAGGAAAAAAACGAAAAGACTCATTAGAGATATGTTAATTAGCTTGGCTCTCTGCTCTCTGGAGAGGTCTGACACCAGCGCAGTGGGATGAGGAAGAGAAGGAGGCGCACGAGGCGAAAACTGAGTCATGCCGCTCGTCACGTCGGGATTTTTTATGAATGCAGCTACTTTTTTTCTTTTTTTTAAAATCCGTTTTAAAATATTAATATCTGCCGTGTTTGTCTTTGTATTGCTAAATGATTTCCTCCACTTGCCTTTTTTAAACTACCACGTATATATTGTTGAAATGTTGAAAACTAAACATAAGGATTGAGGGGTGGGGGGTGTTCGAAGTCTTTTAACTAATCAACAAAAGTACTTGGAAAGATGAGTGTTTTGCCCCCTAGAGTCTGCAGAATTGAAGCAGTTCCTTCTTTCATTCTCTTTTATTTCCTTTCAAAGTGTTTTTCCCAAAGCACTTCTTTTGTCCACTCAATGAAAGTGCTTAGTTGGCAGTTTCTCTTATTTGATGTGGAGGGAATTGTGGCTGTGTGTGCACGTATTTGTGTGCAGTTTAGCGTGTGTGTGTGTGTGTGTTTTGGGGGGTAGTATGGGATCCTGACAGTTTGCGAAGGGTGTATGAGAGGAGGCTGAGCAGCCAGTAGATTGGGCTTGGCTCTGGTCAGAGGGGTGGACAGACAGACGAGAAGGATGGAAAGGAAAGGTTTGGGTCTGGCCACTGAAGTGTGAAACTCTTATTTTGTGATTTGAAACATGAGTGAAATCAGTAATGAAATATGGTCGATAACGGCCTCTCACACTTCCCAATGAAGGGCCCGGAGTGTGTGTGTGTGTCTGTGTGTGTGTTTCTGGAAATGTGTTGTCATTTTTATTCTGGAGCACTGGGGCGTTAGATGGAGGGAGGCAGCGGAGGAGGAGAGCTTGGTGGAAGGGGGGGGTTATCCACTTGAACTTACTGGTCTTTCACTGTCCTCTCTCAAGTTTTCTTTTTTTTCTCTCTTTTTCATTTGTCTAGCCCCTGTCAGAGAAAGCTATGTTTTATACGCCTCCACATACAGTACATACTGTTTGTATATGAGTATAAGAGTCAAAGCGTGCATGGCCAGCGAGCACGGGACCATCTTCAAGATCCCTTCAATTCTTCCCTTTTTGCTCTAAAAGACCCGTTCTTAATAATTATATTCACACACTTTTTGAACTAAAATATTTTATAGCATTTTACAAGTATGTAAAACACTATTTATTATTTAGTTTAATCCAGAACGTTTTGTCCCCAGTTAAAGTCATTTTACTGTTTCTTAACAAGCCGCTTAAACAAATATGTTCATTGTTCATCGAGACAACGACAGAAGCGTTACTCAGCAAAAAAAAAAAGGTTTGAAATACGGAGCATGTCCATATCATCCCCGGCCTCACCTGGCTTCGCTCATCAGTTTCCTTCAGAATAATGTGGCCCCTAGCCCCACTGCAGATTAGCTGGAGGAGGGGTACTCACCACACACAATGGGGCCCTTTTACTTTCAGTGAAGGCCCTGGCCCCGAGTTCCAAACAACACTCTCAGCACAGTAGGCACTCCTTCTCTCTTCAC